AGTTTACGCCTGTCTACATTTTATCTTATACACCTAGTCATTGTGTCATTTTTCGAATTACATCTTTCACTTTGACTGGTGTTATTTTGAAACGATTTGAAGGTTTGAAATATGCTGTACCACCTTACCTGCCCGAAACTCTTCGCATTTGTTCTGAGATACCTTTTCTACATGGGATTATCATTATTATCAGAGTAAAACTTCACCAGTGTGGTAGATGTATCACATAGTGTAACAGTATTGTTTATTGGATAACGTCTCGAACATAGTTTATTGTTCATAGTCATATGAAAATAACTACACAACTTTGAGACATGCTTTATGTGGTTCTATGTGCTTTAACTCCTCCGTAATATGGGTAGTAGGATTTTTCATATATTCGGAATTGGTGTAGGCTCGATAAACAAAGATTCAGTTGTCAATCTCTCCCTCTGCCCTGCTATGTTATTTTCAAGGATTTTCACCCTGTCCCATCCTGTTGTATGGCTGTGTGTAATTGCCTGCATAGCTATGACCAAGCTTTTTCCAAATTCCTTACCTTACTAAGACCTACCAATTTTTACCTAGCTCGGATAGCCTAATTCACCCTGGTCTACTACTTTGACCTATGTATTTGACTTCACAATTGTTGTAAGGGATTTGGTACACTAGATTATGCTGCCTAATTGGATCAGTAAGATCTTTTAACCCATAAAGCTTATTTCGAAGTGAGTTTATAGGTTTAAATGCCACTTCAACCCCACCTATCCTTAGTGAGAATTCTACGTAATGTCTCTGAGCTGCCTTCCTTGAATGGTAATACTGCAGAGGTTTTGAGTTCTCTCTCCACAGTATCGCCAACATTATTATCAACATTACCATTACTGCTGTTAATACCCGTGTTACTAATATTAGTCATATGTTTTTACCACTCCGAAGGAATTTATCAATTACTTTGGGAGGGTAAGTGTTGATGGGTAGGATGTCCTAGTGTATCTGGTTTCTTGTCAAAGATCTGTTTTGCCAGCAAATTTTCTGGCCCTCTTACTCAGACATTATGCCAAGTCAACGTTAACTGACATAGGGTGAAACGATATGAAGTCTAAGTATCGGTTTGAGTGTGAAGGTTTTCTGTAGATACTACCGTCTAAATTCCCATCTTGTTTTCCTCTTATTCCTCAATCCAATGTAATAAATCAACTAAAATGGAATTGTTATTGTTGATGTCTATGACCTCTTTTGAGTCTTACTTGTTTTATCTGTTTGCTTCTTGTCATTCTTCTCGAGAATATTGTTCAGAAAAGGCTGTGCATAGTCATTTTCTGTTGACACTTGGTTTACTTTGAAAACTTCATTTTCTACATACTTCGGATCCGTCGCAATATTTTTAGCCTTATTTAATAGGTTCGAAGCTACAGTGAACTTCATATTCAATGGTTGCTTAGTCAGACTGAAAATTTAGATATCTATCAGAATGAGTAGGTTTTCTGTAAATTCTAATTTTCAACTTGCCTTCTGATGTTCTAGGACAGTCAAAGAAATCTGGAGTTCCTACACTCCAATAGGTTTCGTTCGTGAATTTTTTGTGACATTCGCAACAACTATGACTTGGATGTTTATAATACATATTCCCTCAATTCGTGTGTTTTTATTTACATCACATAGATGTTGTCTTTAACTCATACCTACAATTTTCTATCAAACTGATTTAAGTTGTAAGCAGGTGATGAGAAACCGCAATACAAAATAGACCCATGCCAGAGCTGTAGTTCTCGCTTTACTGAAATTTATGAAGGGGAAGAATCGTATGAAATAGTTCGCTTATCAAACACATATCCCATCTCATTTATATAGTTCCATCAGAGTCATCTTTTATCATTTTTTTGGAACATCAAACTAAACATTAGATGTAGATTGTATTTGTGTAAGGCACAGCGGGTTTGAAATCAAATAATTCCAACGTTCCTCACGGAAGTCTGGTCTGAGCTTCTTCAGGGAAATAATATAAATTAAAATATTAAGGATATATAAATGCATTCAAAAAACGTGTATTTAATCTCCTTGTCCAATCCTCTTCGTATAGTCACTGTCTTTCTAAATTATGATTACTTATCATTCAGTGTGGAATTGTGTCTTTTTTACATGGCGTATGTATGTTATATGTGTATGTATATATGTACTCCAATTCATATTCGTCTTGATTGTAAATATCAGAGAAAAGGTCACTGGTGACATAGTTATTAGGTAATTTTATAAGTACAAATTGAAAGGGATGAGGTGGATGTGTATACAATTTCAGTTGGAATAAAGTGGTGAATAGTGTCAGCCAATTTTTTTTACATTGATTTACTGGAATAGAGTGGAAATGAGTGGTAGCAATGATGCTGCTGCTGATGATGATAAATGTTTTGAGTCACTCTTTCCGCTTACTGATTAGTAATTGCCAAGAGGCAGCTAACTGTACTCCATCTCGTCTGTTCAAACTCTCTGGATTCGCCTATATATGTAGGGCTTCGGCTGTCAGTCTTTCTTGGTATGATCCAAAACCTTTTTGTAGAACCTTAGTTCCGTCAAAAGTCGATTTTGTTTCCCATTTCTATGGAGTGTAACACGATTGCAGATTTATTTTCTAGTTTCTTAACCTCTTTTGAGGTTTTCGGGATCTGCTTTAAGCATAATTCATGCTCATTGACTCATACATTTACTTGCCTGGCTGTTTCCCCTACATATACTGCAGTACAATCTCCGCATTTGATTTCACAGACGCAGTTCTGCTGATTTTCTTTAGGTATTGAATCTTTAACTTATATTAAGTTAGAACTTACGGTATTTGTTACACGAAAGTAAACTCGTATGTCGTGTTTGTTGAGAATTCCTCTTATTTCTTCCGAAGTCTCCTTTCGGTTTCGGGTTATGACCGTGTTTGTCCAATTCTTCGGAGGGAGTTTCATCACATCCTTAACTTCTTTTTTTTAATACGTCTAACGAAACCTTTGTGAGAATTGTTTGCTTCGAGTGTGCAGCAAACTAACTTTAACTCTTCTTCTTTGTCCTCTTTCGTTGTAACAAGACGGTTAGTCCTGCTAATCAGATTCCGTGCGACAGTTACTTTAGTAGTCAAAGGATGTGCAGACTGATAATCGAGATATCTGTCAGAATGTGTAGCTTTTTTGAATATCTTAATCTTTAGTTTGTTGTAATCCTGTCTTGTCACCATACAGTCCACAAAGTTTAATTTCGACAAATCGGATTCAACTTCCTTGGTGAAGGTGATACTTCCGCAAGTCTTATTTCTGTGACAGAAGAGTTCATCCAGACTGTTTCGATTGATGATTACAAACGTATCATCTATCAAAATAAACGGTTCAGAAGGTGGAGGATTTCATAAGGTATGTACGTTGGAGGTGTCGGTGATCCAAGTTTGATCATTATATGCAGAAGTGATACTTGAATTATGTTGTTCTTTTTTGGCTTTAACCGTCTTCCCTTTACCATGTTAGTTTCGTTATTTCACTGATATCACCTAGATTGTGAACTTTCCACTTTGCATTAAACAACACATGTAGAAACAGCTTGCAAGTTGTTAGGTTCCGTGCTTTTCTTATTATTTTCATTATCTTAGGCAACCGTCCCTATTTATGCATTCATGCTCTTTATCTTTGTTCTGATATCATGGTAATAATACTTTCTATAAGGCAGTTAAACTTCTCCAGAAGTTTACAGTTGTCTTAAATTATTTATCCACAATGTACACTATCAGGTAAGATAGTGAAAAATATTTAAAGCTTCCTGAGAGCTGGTGTTCCTTATGTTATTAACAGTTCTGACGGAAAGAATTCTCATTTTTAGTGACAACTTCATTGAGAACATCTTCCGATTGACTTTTAACGATGAGTAGAATATAGTGGTGATGGATAGTGGCTAGCATTAGAATCCAGGATGCGCATTTCGTCCTATTTGGGGTTCATCAACCAGATGTACCTGCCTCTCGGTGAGTGATGTTGTTCCCACTGGGATTCGAACTCAGGACCGATCGCTTCAAATCCCAAGGCATTATCTACTACACCACCGAGCCACGACAGCCGCTCATACAGTATAATAAGAACGATAATACTGTTGAGCAGAATAATTTAACATGTTTAGTCATGGAGGTAATGGTTTGGAACATGGTAGTCAAGGATTTCATTTGATCTGAGTTTTAAAAACAGATGTTTCTGAAAGCCTCATTTTACTACTAGTCACTGTCTATTTCATACGTATAAATATAAGACTAGAACGATGTATACTTTGAAGAAAGAAGAAATACTACAGATTTATATCAGTATGTTGAAACTAAATGCTGATAACTATATTTTATGTAATAGAAAGGAAACTGTTCAATAGACACGGTCTTCAATCCTTTCCTAGTTCAGGGTCAGGCTTTCAAAAATTTCAAATAAGTGTGGAGTTATCAGTTCAAGCTAACACCTGGATTTTGTTGGTAATGGGGTTTCCAGCCGTCATATTTCTAAAGGTGAAGAGTGAGTCAGCAAGAGATCGATAAATAAATAAATATAAAATGTTTTTATCGTATGCCCAGTATATGGTCCCAGTTTAAAGACCTTTGAGATTATAATGAAGTTGTCTATTTTCAGCATAACGCTTTGTTTAGTAGTAGGTCTGTACTATACAACCCAGCATAATGAGCAAGGTCATACGGGTCTCATGGGTTTCATGGGTATAAATTTCCTTCCTCCTCCTGCCCTAGCTACTGAGTTCGAAAGCAACAGTTTACATACACCACTTTCTGTCAGAGTATAGTCTGTTCCATTCACTCTTCACCATCACGTAAGAACGTTTTTCTTCATCCAAAATTTAATCAGTACACTGCGTTATTTATCTCAACTGTTTGAACGATATTCTCTAAAATCTACCGTACAGTGAGGTTATCGACATCAAAACTTTGTTATTCCCAGTATCTGCAAAATTGTTTTCAGAATGTCTACTATCATACTTAACAGAATAATTGAAGGATTACTTACCGACTAGTACACTTTCGAACACGGTAGCGTGTACCGATCCCATTTCTTCTTGAGCACGCGGACCACGGTGAAAAATCACTTAATTCTTGATTGATTTTGATATCTTCAGATCTCACATCAATACATTTACCTTGGAAGCATTCCTATAAATAAAAAATGGAAAATAATTTCAAAAAAACTGTGTAGAAATATTAAGATTAAAAATGAACCTAGTACAGCTCGTTATTTTATTATTATTTATATTATTAGTCCCTTGGGTTCCTAATGGAACATAGGGTTTCAGTAGCACGTCTCCAGTGAACTCTGTTCTCTGAAATCTTTTCAACCTGGCTCCACGACAGCCCACAACCTCTCATTTATTCATCGCACGATCTCCTCCATGTCACCCTCGGATGTCCAACTGGTCGCTTCCCATCGGGGTTCCACTCGAGCAACTGGCCTGACGCGTGATGTCCCCAGTCCGCCTTCTCAGTGTACGCCCAATCCATCTCCACTTCCTTCCAATGCATATTTGTTGGGTGATAGGTTCTTGGTTGGTTCGTTCCCAGAGCTCCTTGTTGCTTATCCTTGTTATTCTGGCCATCTGATCTCCAGTAACTAGCTGGTGTAGGCAGTTGCTGATGAATGTCTGTAGTTTATTGGAAATCACTTTCGTGACGCGCCAAGTCTCTCAACCATCACACAGAAGCACTGACTTGACGTTGGTTTTGAAAATCCGGATCTTGTTCCACATGCTGAGTGCAGAAGATCTCCACACTGGTTTCAGGCTAATGAACGCCTGTCTTGCTTTTCCGATTCTGACTTTGACATCCCCGTCTGTGTCTGTACTGCCTGTAGTTGAGACAGTGCTTCCTAGATAAGTGAAGGAGGTTACTTCCTTTAAGTTTCTCCCGTTGATGGTGATTGGAGTTTGTTGTTGGTGGTGGTGGTGCGGTATCTTCATCACCTCTGTCTTCTCTATATTCACTTGAAGTCCCGTCTTCGCTGCCTCTTCTGCCAACTTGTAAGTTTTCTCCTGTAGATCTTCAAGTTTATGACGATCATTTATTCTAGTCCTCTTTGTTGAATGGATTTACTCGTCTACTTGGTTACAGACAAACATTTGAACTTAAATCCATTGGATGGGGTTAGGCTAGGGATTCTATTCACTTTTAAGAATAATAGGCTAGAAATATCGACAATTAAGTATTTTAGCAGATGGCACTGTAGCATTACATGGACTGGTAGAAATTAAACGGCCCTCTACTGATATTTGTATTGTCCTTGACTGAATATTCGGTACCTCAAGGTCATATCACATTTATTTTACCTTCATCACATCTTGTATATACAAATCACTGTGATATTATTGAATTGAGATCACCGTAGAAAATATACAATCACTCATTTAGCCATCGGTTTGATCCTTTGATATTCATTTAGTCGGGTTTCAGAAATATTCATCTATCAGACATAACGAGTCAATGATAAAAAGTTCTGGGTGAACATGAAATCTGATCACCCAGTCGTGTGTAGAGTTAGCTAGATTTTCCACAGACATGATATACAAATTCAACATTTAGAGTATCAGTTTTTCTGGTAAGTTGTTTAGTTGGGGCTAGCAGAGGAATCCAGGACTCGTGTTTCGTCCTATCTAGGACTCGTCAGCCGGATGTACCTGCACCTCAGTGAGTGATGTTGTTCCCACTGAGACTCGAACCTCGTACTCACCACCTCAAACTCCAAGGCGTTATCTGCTATGCCAAGATCTAAAATTGGATTAGTAATTATTTGCATCAATAACGCTATCCATATAACGACTTAATCTTTCTAGCCGGTGTTTTTACACATATATTTCATTCTAATTATAAAGGTTATGCTTTCCCAATAATATGAAATTATGTCACTTAGTTCCCCAGTCAAAAAAGTTGCCAATAGTTACCAAAATTATACTGTAATCATATTGTGTTGAATAATGAATTTTAGGAGGTCATTATATAATTTGACCTGAACTTGGGGTGTTCTGTGTTTCGTACTTGTAAATAAACAACCCTAAACTTCAAGGTTAAGTTTTGCATATCTTAAGACTTACTATCAACATAAATCTTTAATTTAATGCAAAATTCTTAAAAGGAGGCCTTGTTAACTATGATTTTGACATTACTTGCTATGCATAAATGTTGTATTTGTGATGTATGCATATAATATTTAAGGGTAACCACTGGCTCCATCTCACCTGGTTGCTGATGTTAACCTACAAAACGCATTTTAAGAGTTACCAGATATTCAATAGTAATTCCTGAGAACTGTCTGGTTAGGGTTAACATAAAGGTCTAAGACACGTCGTACATTTCCACTGGTAGTAGTTTGTGCGATATCTGCGTTGAATGATACACAAAAAATGAGCAGGACTATGCTACAGATTGTCACCTTATTGTATTATCCTCCTGCATACAAAATGATTACACTTTGTATACTGAGAAGAATGAATTCTTCTTACTGTAGAAGGAAAAATATTCCGAAACGGTCACAATAGCAAATAACTTTATTGCTAAAGGATAGAGATTGTACTAATCAGAAAGTAATTCCAGGATATATAAGGAATCTCATGTCAATGAGTTCATAATAGCACTGGTATCCTACATTTAATTTCCAACAGCTACTTTCTCTCGATTGATAACATTTTTAATCATAGGGAGGGGCAGCGTGTGACTTGGAAACCACTGTAATGAGGCCAGCGGTGAACACAAATAGATAACATTTCCACTGACCATCATCCAAAAGGATCAGTGGGGGATTAGCTTTCTTTATCGTGTGTTAGCCAGAGCAGGTGTGTGTCTGAGCTGATAGGGTGCGTACAATGTGCAGTTAGAAAATTTCCCTGCTTTCAAAGAATAGATAACAACAAAAGCCAAGTTTTAAGTATGCATTTGAACACAACTAACTCTCATTCTGATGTAATCTGGTAGTAGTTTCTGTCTTGAGTGGAAACAGTGGTAACAACACATACTGATCTGAGACCAAATGTTAAGGAAAGCTGATGCACTGCTTCAACTTGGTTCAGAGTGAATGATGCAAGAAGATTTATTGTGTCTGGCATTAATAACAAGGAGGAGAGGAAACTGCTTAAGTAAAAATCTGCTAATGGCTCTCCTAATGACCATTAATGATGGCAGGTGGCGAAAGTCAATGATATTGACAAGACATGAGTGCAAAGTAATACTACGCCTCTCCAAGAAGTTGTTTCGAGAAAGGAGGTGACTTTCAAAAATACTGATCCCACGAAACCCCTCAGAGAAGTGGCCAAGACATCTAGTGGAACTGTTGAAAAAACATCTAAACTATCCCATATTCTTGCTTCATCTATCCATCACCAATGCATGGCTGGAATAGAATGTATGTGTTGTTCTTCCAACTATGATCGAGGCTAATAAAGCTACCTTAAGAACTAGGTGATGTAGCAGTTTCTAAATTAATCTCCAGAAGTCCCTAAAGGTTGTGAAGAAGAGAGTGAAATGGCGGAGAATATTTGTGGCTCAGGTGAATGGTCTTGGTTGTATTACGTTTTCTGAGCTGGGTTGTTTAGTCATAGAGCTTTAATCGTCTTTCTAGACGATACCATCAGCACTAAATTTAGATAACAATGTAAGTCTACAGAGGATAAGATGGTTGAAATGTACGTCCAGCATATCCAGCTATAATCCTTCTCAAAATACAATGTTAGCTGAAGTAGGACAAGGTTAGAGGGAAGTCATAGGTGATAAAATCAAGACATGGAACCGTTCCAGGAAGTCTACTTGTTATTTTCCTGGGTCTTCAAGATATTAGGATTCAGTAGTTAGTTATAGACCTTTTTGAATACTATATATTGGTTTGTCTGTCGCCGATAAACATTGGTAAAGGAATAGACTAGGCATAGTGTTGAATCTTGACCTAATAGACAGTCATTAGCGCACCAAATTAACCCATAATCAGTGTGGAATATGCACGAGAAAGTGAAAAGAAAAATAATGAATTCTGAATTTAATTTTTGTCAACAACTTATAGAATGTTGCTTTTACCAACGCGAATATTTTAATTGAATTTAAGGGTTTGTAGGGATTTAGAAACTTTTTTTCAAGTTGGTATTCATCATGAACTGACATCATTTGCAGAAACTTGGGAAACCTGGAAGCACTGGACAGCTGTTTCGTCCCAGTATGGGACTGTTCAGGAGTGCGCACCTATGACTCCAACCCACCAGGGATCAAATCCTCGCCCGACAGGTTCCGTGGCCAGTCATGATCAATACCAACTTGAAAAAATCTCCAAATACCAACAAACCCCTAAATTCAACTGACATAGTGTTCATTGGTGACTAGCTTTGAGAAGTGATTCCTGAAGTTGCAATGAGAAGTCATGAACGGTGGGGCAAACCTGGTGACCGTGAGGACAAATACTCAACAATGATATTGAGTGATGGTCGCGCTATGTCGTGAACTTACAGAAGTAAGAAATATGGACCACTGGATTCCAGTCTACTGGCTCAATAGTAACGAGTTGGCCACGGAACCTGAAGGTCCTAGGTTCGATCCCCGGCGGAGTGAGGTAGCGGTTGCGCACTGCTGAGGAGCCCTATACTGAGAAAATACAGTTATCTGATGCTTCCAGGTTTCTAATGTTCCTCCAACTGACGTAGGTCCATGATGAATGCCAACTTGATAAAACACACATATTTTACTCTACCCTGTTGTATGTGAACTGAAAATCCTATAAAAATTTCTCGAAATATGATTGCTATTGCTGTATGGTAAAACCCATGGCGAATAATTTAACTAAGCTAATTAATTACAGCAAACTAACCAGTATCACTGTGTTTTGTTCTCATGACTGACTAAATTATGTTGTACTACACCACACAAAAATTCTTACCGATCAGCATTTAATGCTAAATATTTCACTGTTAGGTATACTTTTCTATTTATAAAGGTATGCGAACTGAAGTTGAGACAAAAACAGAAATTTTAAGCAGATTTGTGGCTCTTTCCTGTCGACTGCTATGGATCACGTGATTAGCTAGTTGCTGGACGCAACAATTAAGGACGAAACCACTGATCTCAAAAGAAAAGGATAACCTCACTAAAATTTCCCTGCTTCTTAGTTTCTTTAAAAATCATATACTGAAGTGAGACCATGAAGACTCCTTCTTCAAGTTTATCATCATCATAGATTTTCTCTTCAGCTTTATTCACACCAATATCTCAGTTAACTGTGCTCTAAATGTCGTATTCATCTCTCAAGTTATCAATAGTTGGATTTATGAAACTTCATGTGTATTTCTTGGCGTCTAGATTATTTTCGTTTATATATTACAGTGCATAACTTACCTTCATTTTACCACATGGAGTGCCGTCCAGTAAACCATGATTTAACATCCTATCACAGTGATCCTTTGAACCGCTTACTGAACACCACAATTCTTGGCATGCATGCTCTTCAACCTTTAATTTTGTTTAAAATAGGAATAATTCATTTACAGATTTTTGAAAAAGCAAAATGTGTAAATTAGGCAAATGTATAGCTAAAAGGAATGTGCTAATTAACTGATAATGAGCTATGTGTCAGTTCATGAGATAATGTGACCTCCATTCCATGCTTTCGTTGAGTAACTATCTTCATGTCCGACTTGGTTGGCCCTATCGGCCACAACTTTTGATTGGAAGGTCGGGAATCACCTCTCGAAGCAAGTCACCATTGAGCAATAAAATAATCCAATTTTGAGGTTTGTGAGCATATATTTATTGATTTCAAGTTAGTATTCACCATCATTTTTAATTTTTCCTAGTCTTGATTTGTAGCAATGGGAGCAGTTTTGATAGAAGAACGTTTTCAAATAATCCTCAACTGAATTTAATCGTCACAGAATTTCTGCATCTCTTTCTCAGTTCTGTAGGGGTAAGAGTAGTAACTGATGCATTCGACTTCATATGGGATCTATTCCCGTAAAGAAAGCCTTACATATGATGACGTCAAATGCTATTAACAGAAAAAAGAAGTAGACTTGTCACTGATTTGGCAAACATTAATACGACAAAACCATTACTGACGACCTTTTCTAACTGAAGCTTCAACAACAATGACAGTTATCATTTGTTTATATACTTGTACTTCTGCGTTGTTATACTGCATCCAATTGTTCGACCTCTGTTGTTATATGGGCTCCTATGCTGATGTCACCAGATGCCGAACATTTCAATCCAGTATAATAAATAAGAAGTACAAATATATCAATCAACAGTTATAACTGACACGCGTTGTGCAAGAGGTGGCTATTGTGCCCCAGTGGCCTAGTGGATAACTTTTTGGCGTTTCAAGTAATGGGTACGCGGTTAGAGTGTCTTTGGGAACAACACCACTCACTGGGTGTAGGTACATCCAGCTGACGAGTCCCAAACAGGACAAAAAGCTCGTCTGCTTCTCTGCTAGCCACAACCGAGCAAATTATCACAATAACAATTGTTGACGGCTCGTAAATAAAAAAACAAACAAGAAACAACACCTATTTCACAACATTCGTAGCCACACTCATACACTGATTATCCTACATCCAAGCTGACAATAACAAACATGGACTTGTAATGGCCAATCTGAATTACTGAGGTTGAACAGGAAATCACTCAACCAATGATCTATATTCACTAAATATTTGATGTATCATTTGACTATATATTTTAATGTCGATAGAAGTTTGTACATTCTGTTGATGAAGCTGTCGCTTACACAGTGAAGCGTACAGAAGTATCTTGTTTTGATTTTCTAAACACACTGGGATTATATTAGCATATATTCTTTTAGTGATTCAATCAGAGTCGGTGGTCAACTTTTTCCACGATATTCGTAACAACTATAGTCTGGATGTTTATAATGTAAACTATTTGTTTTCAGACTTTACTGCATGTTCAGTTGGTGAAAACAAAGGTTTACTATGCTATTTATGGTAACCTTGAGGCATTGAACATTTTTCGAACGTCTGTCAAAATAGCCATAAATAGCTTAACGAAGTATTCAGATAAGAAATTACTGCACTGATTAGTAGTCCCATGACTTATATAGAATATCATCATTAAAGTACTATTTACTACGCAGATCAACAGTCAGGGACTTCATAGCCCAACGTCTTGGTTTCGCCACAATGAACCCTCTTCTGACGTAATTCAAATTCTCCTCGCATTGTACACTTAGATAAGGGTGGTTTAGCACGCACAACACATGTCCAAGCCATCTAAGTCAACTGAGGTTCACAAACTCAACAGTTGTCTTGCCTGTTTCACTTAGTACCTTTCGCCTGGCCTTGACATTGCTCACGTGATGATCCCACCATACTCAGAGAATGCTACAAAAATACTTATAATCAAAGACCTGTAACTGCTTCATATCTTCTACTATGAACCGCCATTTCTCACATCCATATAACAGCACAGAACGGAATGCAGGGCGGTATAGTCCTCCTTTAACAGGCAGCTACTAGTTTAGGTAGCTGCCGCCGTGGCGTTCTCGTCAGACTTGTATATCACAATGACCCAGGAAGCTACACTGGCTGGAACTCTTGCTCCTTGAAGCCCTACCACGCCAGAAAGATCAGATGGATAGTAGTAAGACGGAAAGCAGTTACCATTATAAATTGCACCTCTGTGGTGCGGGTCCGTGGACGAAGTCGTGCTGTTGTCTGGATGGGTTGTGACAGCAGTTAGGTGACTCCTGTGGTTGACCAAAAGTGATACGCTAGAGGTTCCGCCCCTATGATAATGGAGGAAAGGGGTAAAAATGGTTGGGCCAAAAGATAGCACTCTCCTCCCTGCCTTGAGGTCTTCTCGTACCGGTGTTTAACATTTTTACTGTCCAGTGTTAGAACAACCAATTCTCAAACTAACTATCCTCAAAAATTAAAACAGTTGGTCCGCTTCATAAACCTTGATAAAACAATAAGAAGACGTAAATTGTCTGAACCATGTGATATATTTGCGTAATATATTTCCAACTATCTGGTCACATACATATTTGTCATAAGTGTTTATATGAAAATTCCTGAAGATGGTGGTGGTGGTGGTTGAGCATCTTCATCACCTCCGTCTTTTCTGAGTTCACTTGAAGGAAGTCTCGTCTTCCTTCGCTGCCTCATCTCGCCTCTTCTGCCAACTTGCTAGTTTTCAGCTATAGACCTTTGAGTTTGTGCGACATTGGAAATAAATCATCATCGGCGAAATCCAAGTCTTCTTCCGGTTTTTTTTAATTGGTCCAGTCAGCCAATGCCCATCCTCTCTCTCCTCACAGTTGTATGTTGCGTGATCCACTTCAGTCCAGTCCACCACAATCAGTAAGATAGTAAACAACATTGTCTTACTCCTGTCTTCACTTCAAAGGCATCGCTGAGCTTTTCGTTTTGAATCACTTGACATGTGGTGTCTTTATATAGCTGTTGAATGAGGTTGATAAAGATTTGTGGCACCAAAACCGTAGTGTTGAAGCAGCTTCCAAATTACTTCTCGGTCGACGCCTCGATAGGAGGCCTTTTCAAAGTCGATGAAATTGAGGTAAAGAGTTGACTGCCATTCCATTCTCCAAGTCTTGAACATGTTGGGTTCTGTATGCTTTTTTCCATTTAGTCAACCTTCCCGTCAGTTCTCTTATTTAGTTCCGAATATTGATGTTATTATCTTTTGTTTTCTCCGTCTAAACCTTTATATCTTCTCTCTTTATGTAGTCAGCTTAATGGTTACGTTGTCAGCCTGGATTGATGCACAACTTTAAGAAGTTCTGCAATTTTCGTATCTCCATCTGTGTATAACAGCTGAAGTTTTCTACTTCGATTACATCGCAAAGCAAGTTACCAGATCCTAAGCTATGACAGAAGGAAAATCAAGCAGCATGCTTTATCTTCATTGAATGTCTGTTCTTGCCTCATCACTTTACATTAAAGGTTATCACGTAAATTCAACAATAACAATTGTTATATTTTATTACTAGTTAAAAAGTGTTTCAAATCAGTTCTGATGTTTTGTGGAAGTCCACATGTAAAGCCAACTTCATTTAAGATGAATAGAAAGATAAGAATATTTGGTGTTGCATATCTGTAGTCAACCGTCGGAAGTCCCTTGGTTCAAGTTTAATTTCTGTTAGCAGTCAACGGGAAGGTGTATTTGCAACGTAGAGCAAACCAGCGCCTACTGTCACGCTTGTATCAGATTAACTGAGTGCTTTTAATAGAAGTGTTGCTATTCAGCTATTCCAGACGACCTTAGACCTCTGTCAATTGATGTGAGCTGAACAAAAAGCTATTATTGATGTGTCTAACTAGTAACTATTGTAGTAATTAGTCAGATAAAATATATACCAACTAGAGAAGGTCCGCTTAGACACGAAGACCAAGTGTGCGATGATTTAAGCTCCCTTCCTGTTTTACAACGTCTATCACGTCTCTCTTTACTGTTATAGTGAGCTGAGTTAATGTTTGACAATATTCGATAGCGTATTGTTTCCCTAATGTTCGATGTTTCATGAAGCGAAATGAAGCGATCCGTTTAAGAGTTATCTAATATTCTCTTCTTAACTTCTGACTATCACTGCTTAACTTCTAGACATATTTTAAGAAATGAAGTAGCTTCTGTAAGGTTTCGTTGTAACATTAGTCTGAGTATGTAGGTAAATTTTACCGTATTCATATCTAGGTTAACTGCACAAGAAGCCGGGAAGTCGTATTGGTACTTCAGCTGACGACTTTGACACAGCTTACTTACTATGATGAGCTAGTGACCATTTCACAGCCTATACAGTTTATATTTCCAATGAATATATAGAGTGAAGAATCAGACATTGCTGAGATGATAAAGTCATTAATATACAAAAATATAAACAAAGCAAAATGTGTATCATCTATTCTTCAAATAGTTAATAGTCAATCAAGGATAATATAAAGATTAGTATCCAGTCAATAAATTTTTAGCAACCAATCTTATGCTGCATTTTTGCTTAGTCTAACAATCATCGTGGTGAATACATGCGATTTTGTGATTTCTGTTCACGAAAGCTGTAACTAACCTGTATTATGCGAAGGTTTTGAAGGTGATATTTTGAATCAAGTCATGGAAAAAAAGTTTATCTTCTATTACATCCATCAGTCCTTAAGATGACAGACGGGTAAACTGATTCATTGCGATAAGTCTGTATTCCAAAGTTATTCAGCTATTCGATACAGCTTTAGGCCATGACCGCCATCAAACACTCAAAGCTTTAAAGCCTGTATCATTCCGCCTGGCTAGGCCATGGGGTCTTCGGAAACCGTTACTAATTGACTCCTGAACCTGGTCAACTGTTTGTGGATTGCGTAGGCAGTAAAGGCCGAAACGCTTGGGTGCCATCGTCTAACCATGGTGGGAAGAGGGTTGATATTAGTGGAGCAATAAGTGTGAGACAGGATGGGACAGAATGGGGCAACCCAGGCCGA